CAGATCCAGGTTTGTATTTCAATTCATAATTGTATGCAGTTAGTGTGATAGCCCATCTTTGAATTCTTGGTGAGGCATGCTCAGGTAGGGTTTTGTTTTCTCCAAATAAACCTAGCAATGGTTTATGATCTGTAAAGATGGTGAACTTCCTACCAAACAGAAACTTATGAAATTTCTTAACACCAAAAATGATGCCTAAGCCTCCCCTATCTAACTGAGAATAATTTTTCTCAGCCTGGTTCAAAGATCTACTGGCAAAAGCAATAGGTCTGTCACCCTTCTCATCCATGTGGGACAAGACTGCTCCTACACCATCTGGTGAAGCATCACATGTTAATATAAGTCTTTTCCCTGGGTCATAGTGAGTTAGTAAGGTGTCAGCAGACAAAGCCTCTTTTGCTGTATTAAAAGCAGCTTCTTGTTGTTTACCCCAGTGCCAAGTTGCATTTTTCTGTAGCAGCTTGTACAGTGGTGATAGTTTACCAGACAGATTTCCTATGAACTTTGCATAGTAATTTATTAAGCCCAAAAAAGCTCTTAGTTGTTGGGTATTTTCAGGTTTGGGTGCTTCTTTAATGGCTTTTGTTTTCTCAGGTTGAGGTCTGATACCTTGCTTGCTTAATATATAACCAAGAAAACTAATTTCTGTCAACATGAATTGACATTTATCTTTGTTTATCTTTAAACCTTTTTCACCAACAATTTTTAATACTTTATCAAGTGTTTTAAGATGTTCAGTGTCATTCTTACCAGTTATGTACACATTGTCAAAGTACACACAAACATTTGGAATGTCCTTAAAAATACTGTCCATGACAGCTTGGAAAATTCCAGGGCTGGATGATATGCCAAAACATAGTCTTTCATATTGGTAGAGTCCTTTATGTGTGTTTATTGTCGTATAGACTTTTGAATCTGGATGCAGTTCTAGTTGAGTGTAAGCATGACTAAAGTCTAATTCAGTGAATTTGTCTCCTCCTGCCAAATTCAAAGAAATTTCCTCAATGTTAGGTATAGGGTACCTATTTAGCTCTATTTGCTTATTCAGTGTAGTTTTATAATCTCCACAAATTCTTATAGAACCATCCTTCTTTAACACTGGCACAATGGGTGTCGCCCAATCAGAATAGTCTACCTTCTTTATGATGCCATTAGATTCCAATCTACTTAGCTCATTTTCAATTTTATTCCTCATTGCATAAGGTGGAACTCTAGCTTTGCAGTATCTTGGATTTGTGTCTTTAATGCTTAACTTCACTGTTCTATCATTTAGTAATCCTGAATTACCAAAAACACATTTATTTTCAGATATAACTTTATCTAGTGAAGTAAGACTAGATTCTTTTACATTCTTCAATGAACAAATACTCTCCCAATTTAACTTAAGATCACTTAACCAGTTCCTACCTAGTAATGGCGGTCCATTTCCTTCAACCACAAGAAGAGGAAGTTTAACACTTTGACCATTATAACTTACATGAACCATACACTCTCCTATTACCGGAACATTGTCACCAGTGTATGTTGTTAGACACTTGTGACACGGCTGTAGAGACACTGATCCTCCAGTGACAGCGTCAAAATCTTTCTTTGTTATGACTGTTAGAGATGCTCCAGTGTCAAGTTGGAAGCTGATGCTCTTACCGTTGATATTAACTTGTACATTGATGGGAGCATGACTTATTGATTTAACAGAGAACAGGTTGAAATCCGGCTGCAAATCAATTTGAGCATTTTCACAGGTAGAGTGGTTCATTGGTTGGGTTAGGTAGTCTTGGTGAGAGTTAACATAGTGCTGCTTTTGGTTGCGGTACTGTCTTGACTGGCTAGATTTAGCAACAGACGAAGACTTTGCAAAGCAGGCCTTGGCAATGTGACCTTGCTTACTGCACTTATAACAAGTTGCAGACTTGAACTTGCACCGATGAGATGCATGGGGACCTTTGCATCGATGACATTTTTGATAATTATTACTAGATTTAGATCTAGGATTTGAACGAGCAGGCTGTTTAGCATAAGTTGGAATGCTCTGATGGGGTTGGTGTTTGTTGACTAACCTGCTGTTTACTGCATGGATCCCTGAAGGCGTTAGAGATTTCGCCGCATCTGATGACTGCTGGAGTGAAGTTGCAAGTTGTATTGCTTTTTCCAATGTTAGATCTGACTCGAGCAGCAACTTTCTTTGAATATCAGGGCTGTTTACACCTGTCACAAACTTTTCACATAATCTGTCAGACAGCGTTTCTCCAAATTCACAGAATCTACTTAAATGACGTAAAGCAGCAACATATTCTGATATCGACTCGTTTGGTTGACGAGTCCTACTGTCAAATCTAGCTCTACATAGAAACTTTGATGGGGTAGGCGCATGGTGGTCTGTTAGCAATTTGCTCAGCTCGTTAAAGCTCTTGGTATCTGGACTAGCTGGTGCGCATAAGTCCTTTAGTAGCCTGAATTGTTGAGGCCCTATGACTGTTAACAAAACAGCTCTCTTTTTGGCTTCTATTGTCACGTCGTTAGCTTCTAGGTAAAAGCTTAACCTCTCTAGGTAATCTTGAATGATTTCATCATTCGCATCAAATTCTTTTATTTGGCCATACAGCGCCATAATTCTAGAAATAATTAGCTAATAAGCTCTAGCAAACCTCTTTTTTGCGTAAGTAGGTGCTCTTTCTAGTAGATGTTTATCCTTCGTCGCCAAATGACGTGGATTGTAATGACTGACGAGAAGCCGCGTTGGTTATTAACAGTCTTTATTATGTACAGACGCCATGATGCAAAGAGAGAGAGAGAAGTGACCAGAGACCACTATATATAGATAACAACATGTAAGGGACATCACTCAAGATAACAATATAAATATAATACTAATACAGAGAGTGAGTTCCCTTGACCTCACGATTATTTCAATCTATTACAATTATCTAAATCTAGATAGAATTATCTATATTCTACGACTGGTTTGCTTAAGTCTTAAGTCTAGTTTTTGCGTAGCTCTTGCTAGATCTAGATTAGACCTATTCTAGATCTAGATAGATAAATCACAAAGATTTATATAAAGTATTTAAGGACTAAAGTAGTTTAATAAAGAAACTCAAAAATGTATTATGATTTTAAAATGGATTGTATATTTAACTAATTAATCTTTGGTTTGACATAGATTCTAGATCTAGATCTATAAATAACTTTTTTGGACAGATTGTAGAGCTAGAGAAATTTATTGTAAAACTAAATGAAAAAGACAGTTGAAAATTGATATAAGTAATAATAAGGAACGTAATAAAAACAGCAAACTGACGTATTGTTAAAGTTATAGCCGACAGAAAATTAGCTTTATAACGCGTTAAAGATCTGAATAAGATAAGAAATCTTGTATTGGAGCCGCCATTTATTGTACTAAAAAGTAAACAAATCCTGTGACGTCACTATTCACTCAAAGTAAAGTCGTTTTTCTAAACTTTTAAAATTAATGTGGTTAATCTACCAATCAATTAATTAATTAACGTCTTTAAATAAATTTGTGATTAACAGTCTGTCTGAAAACAAAAATTGTTCTTTACCTACATACTATTTTACAGCTCTCCACATAGAGCAGATTCTCTCCATTACCCAATCAGACAAACAAAAAAAAATAATTAAAAAAAAATATTCAAACATGTAAACGAACTTGAGGAGCTATATTGTGATGTAGCCTATTAGGTAATCTATCGGTTTAGTTTTAGGTGTTTAAAATCGCCCTAGAATAATAATGTGCGAAAAAGTTGCCTAATTGTTAATAATGTAAAGGCTTTAATAGAAGTATGTTGTGATATACTGTATCAAATATTATAGATAGGCCTAGAGAAAATGTATTTTTAGTCTATATCATAGAGAAAATCAATTGCATTTTCTCTTTATATACTACAAATTTTCAAAGAAATGTATTGATGTTTTAGAAATTTCATGACAGTTATAATATTTAATATTTATGGTTTGTGTATTTTGAATATTTTGGTAGGATATAATAAATAATCCAGCCATTTCTGCTTTTTGCCTTGAAGTTTAAAAAAAGCTTAATGTAATATTTATTACTGTATAATGTAGAGCAAACCTATTCTTGTGTTTTATTATTTTTCTGTCAATTTCTTTGAGTGTTTTCAAATTGATCCATTTGTGAACTAGTTTAAGAAATAATAAAAAATTACATGTTATCGTAACATTTTAATTAAACTAAATATAATATTTATTACCTGAGCTACAAATGTATCTTTTTGTGTGATTAAAATTTTCTTTTAGATGCCTGTATTATTCCTATATGATAATTTGTCAAAAATAATAAACACTTAATGACAATATTCAGCTTTTAACTTATTTTTTTAAGTACCCAATTTTATAAGGGTTTTTAAATTTTTTATTTTAGTCATTAACATGAAGTGTATATTAATTATATTAATAAATGCAAACTGTTCCTAAAATATTATGAAGTATTAAATGTAATCTTAATACTTAATGTGGTAACTAAACATTTAGTATCTAGTGTTGTCTTTTTTCAGACAACTATCATGTCCCTATTTGTGATTCTTTAAGTCAGCGTAACTTAATATTTACTACATGAATGTTTTATTGCTGTCAAACTATTTTCTTGTTAACTGGGCTGTCGTCTTTACATTTTTAACATATTATAAATGTTATTTTAAAAAATGTGTTTTTTTGACAATCAAGACATCTGTAAACTCATCAATTCTAAATGGTTTTTTTTAAAAATTCAATTTGTATGTCAATGGAGTTTTCTAATAAATAGATTAAAATAATTGAAATGTGTTTTCATCAATAGGCCTACATGAATGTAATTCTCTGAACCATTATTCAATCAACTAAAACTTTTCTATTGGTTTGTCAGTCCCTCCTCATCCACTAACAGACTAGAACACCCCCACTTAGCAAGGCAGACACCCCCCCCCCCCTAGAACAATTACACCTATAACATTCTGCTATGATAAAAATATGAAGTGAAGACACCATAAGAATACTTATAAACTTTATTATTTTACACAAGTATATCCAGTAAATAAAAATAACCTGTTTATATATTTGTTGATAACGTTTTGAACAATTACAATTTTGTCACTTTGTTATGCCAGATAAATACATAGATATTATGTAAGTTTATGTTTGATAACCAATATACGTTTTTGTCTAAATAATTCAGAACACAAAATTACCAACTCATATAATTTTAAAGTGCAAAGGACAAAGTTCTGTTCTGAAATGAAGTAACAAAAAAAAAAACAGCTATCAGTGGAAGCTAATTTAGTAATGTGATCAACATTCCAGAACATTTTTTTGTTGATCAGTATTTTATTCTTTGGATAATATATTTAAAACAAAAGTAGAATTGTTAAACTGCTTGCAAATTAAACCAACCAATCATACAATTGAACAGACATACAACCACCTACAAATATTTGCTATAATTAATTCCATCACTGCTATTGCTTGGGCTGAATATTTGCTTCTGGCATTATGCCTGTAATATTAAACATGTACCATCAGATTCTTGAAGATCTACAGGGGAGAGAACTGCCAGTGTAGTACATTCACATTCGGTTGCTAGCAGAAATCAAAGGGATCTGGTCAAAATATTCTATGAATAATACAAAATTAAACAAGAAATACATTGTCTTGAAGCCTCAAATAAATTCATTCTACTGAAATTATTGTTAATATAAACAATTGAGAACATTTTTGTGCACACCATAATATCCCTAATGTGGCAGTAAAATTAAGAAAAATGTGGATCAAATAGTAGATGTTATTTCAAAAAAACTATAGATTAGTGCAAATAAAAAAAATACAAGTGACATTTTTGTATCTGCAGCACAAACAAAAAAGTATAATTCAACTGAACTATACAGGGATTTAACATGGAAGAGGAGGGGGGAGGAAGGAACAGCTTGAAAATCTGTCACTTTTGTGAAGAACTGGATCTTCAGCATAAATTTAAATAATAGTAACAGTTGAATACATGTCTAATCCAACCAAAACAATTTCACCCCAGGTCAAAGGTTAAGGCAACTTGTGTAGATACAAGTGAGAGAGTAAGGAAACATTACAGGATAGTCACATCAAGTCACAGATTGTTGCATGCTGCCTCCATCTCAATGATGCTATACAAATACTTTCACCAGCCCCACCAAATTTTGCTGGTAAAAGATCACAAAAATTGATTTCAAGCACATTATCATTGAAACACGAAGAGATTTAAAAAATTTTCCCTTAAGGAATGAATCAACCACCTTGCCTATGTCAAGATTAAAAAAACAAAAAACAGGCACTTTAAAATTATTTTTAGAAAATTGATGTATGCTTGATGGATATGAGCATTTGTACTGGTCAGCTAACAAGGATGGATATAAAAAACTATTTGAATTTATTTTAGCAAATGTCACCATCCAAAACAATCATTTCCACCAGATTCTGTACTTTCACTTTCTCAGTATTCACGTCTCATGAAGAACAGAAAAAAAACAAACAACTGAACAACATCTAAATCAGGGAATAGATAAGTAACAAATAGCAAACTGTTTTCACATGAAATCAACTGCGCTAGGGCTATCAGTAACAAGAGCTGCTACATCTAAAAGCCTCCCAGATTCAACTGAATCTGAAAGACTCTACTCACAATATTCCTACAAGTTGTCTACACAAATTCAAATTAGAGAATACAATTGTAGTTTAAACATTATGCAAAGAAATATACTTTGACTATTTAGCATATATTTCTATTTCCTGATTCAGGTATATATATATATATATTATATATAATATTTATAAAAATGACATCCTTCAAATGACACCACAGGGCTAACTAAGAACCAGACCGTACGAGCATATAGTTTATACATAACATCACATTTAAAATACATGAGTGGAATTAGTTACAACTTGAAGCCAGGCCATTTCTACAGCCTCTCTGTGTGCTTGATGCCCTCGGTTTCACTGCCATTTATTGCTGCGTCCTCGTCTGTCATGACAGTCACTAGTGAGCCGACAGCTTGGCCCACTTCACCAGCTATGTGAAACAGATCTCCAACGTTGGCACCACCTGAAGCAGAAAGTATCTTGGTCATATTTCTCCTGGTAGTTTTATTGAGAGATGCAAGTGGCACATTGTTAAAAATAATACAGTGTGGACACAATATGAACACAACATGGACACAATATGAACACAACGTGGACACAATATGAACACAACGTGGACACAATATGAACACAAAATGGACACAATATGAGCACAACATGAACACAACATGGACACAATATGAACACAACATGGACACAACATGAACACAACATGGACACAATATGAACACAACATGGACACAATGCCAGCACAACATGGACACAATATGAACACAACGTGGACACAATATGAACACAACATGGACACAATATGAACACAACGTGGACACAATATGAACACAACATGGACACAATGCCAGCACAACATGGACACAATATGAACACAGCATGGACACAATATGAACACAACATGGACACAATATGAGCACAGCATGGACACAATATGAACACAGCATGGACACAATATGAACACAATATGGACACAATATGAACACAACATGGACACAATGCCAGCACAACATGGACACAATATGAACACAACGTGGACACAATATGAGCACAACATGGACACAATATGAGCACAACATGGACACAATATGAGCACAACATAGACACAATATGAACACAACATGGACACAATGCCAGCACAACATGGACACAATATGAACACAACGTGGACACAATATGAACACAACATGGACACAATATGAACACAACGTGGACACAATATGAACACAACATGGACACAATGCCAGCACAACATGGACACAATATGAACACAACGTGGACACAATATGAACACAACATGGACACAATATGAACACAAAATGGACACAATATGAACACAACATGGACACAATATGAACACAACATGGACACAATATGAACACAACATGGACACAATATGAACACAACATGGACACAATGTGGACACAATATGAACACAACATGGACACAATATGAACACAACATGGACACAATATGAACACAACATGGACACAATATGAACACAATATGGACACAATATGAGCACAACATGGACACAATGCCAGCACAGCATGGACACAATATGAACACAACGTGGACACAATGTGGACACAATATGAACACAAAATGGACACAATATGAACACAACATGGACACAATATGAGCACAGCATGGACACAATATGAACACAACATGGACACAATGTGGACACAATATGAACACAACATGGACACAATATGAACACAATATGGACACAACATGGACACAATATGAACACAACATGGGCACAATATGAACACAACATGGACACAACATGGACACAATATGAACACAACCTGGGCATAATGTGGACACCACATGAACACAATGTGAACAATACATGGACACAAGATGAACACAATGTGAACAATACATGGACACAAGATGAACACAATGTGAACAATACATGGACACGAACATCTACAGACCTCTAGCTTTGATGGCGCTGTAGTGTGGTGGACTGTTTACATCTGCTAGGATACCACTGATGTCAGGATCATCTAAACCTGGATAGAAATATACATCACCTTCGTTATACAACGGATAATCCAACATTTTTATAAAAATACATATTCTTGTATTTTATAGATTAAGTATAACAGTGTAAAAAAAAAACAATGATGGAAAAAGAAAAACAAATGACCTAAATGGCCGTTGGTGTGGGGTGTTGACTCAAGCTGTGGAGCAAGGCGGTAGCGTGGCTGACCCGTGTGGAGGGAGCTGACTGAGGAGGATGGTGTCGTCATGGGTGTTGTCCTAGATGATGAGTCAATAGAGAGGAAACTTTTGTCTGCCTGTGGCTGAAAGAAAACAATCAGCAACATCAGGTGATGTTCATGTTTTTACAACATCAGGTGATGTTCATGTTTTTACAACATCAGGTGATGTTCATGTTTTTACAACATCAGGTGATGTTCATGTTTTTACAACATCAGGTGATGTGCATGTTTTTACAACATCAGGTGATGTGCATGTTTTTACAACATCAGGTGATGTGCATGTTTTTACAACATCAGGTGATGTTCATGTTTTTACAACATCAGGTGATGTTCATGTTTTTACAACATCAGGTGATGTTCATGTTTTTACAACATCAGGTGATGTGCATGTTTTTACAACATGAGGTGATGTTCATGTTTTTACAACATCAGGTGATGTGCATGTTTTTACAACATCAGGTGATGTTTATGTTTTTACAAATCAGGTGATGTGCATGTTTTTACAACATCAGGTAATGTGCATGTTTTTACAACATCAGGTAATGTGCATGTTTTTACAAAAGGGAAAATACATCTTTTTATCCTGTGTCCCATCTACTGCCTGGTAAGTCCACACCTGCCTAGCTAATCTGTTTAAGTTAACATCTGCCTCGCTCAGGGGTTCCCAACCCCGTGCCCGCGGGCGCCATGGCGCCCGTCGAACGATTCGTATGTGCCTCTCACTATTCGACAGAGACAGAATTTTTTTCATAAACATTATTGAAAAGTTGAAGGGGATGGAAATCAAAAGCTTGAGGGGGTGGGGGGGGGGGGGGGGTGGGGGGGGTGGGGGGGTGGGGTGCAAATCGAAAGTTTTGTCCCCGGGTGACGGGAACGGTTGCTACGCCTCTGGGAGGAGTTTGTCGACTTAAAATAGGTGGTGCCCGCCACCCTACCGATATTTTAGAATGTGCTCTAGAGTAAAAAAAGGTTGGGAACCCCTGGCCTAGCTAATCTGTTTAAGTTAACACTTGCCTAGCTAATCTGTTTAAGTTAACACCTGCTGATCTAAAAAAAAAACTATTACACTACCTGGTCCAACAAAAAACCTATTAAACCTACTACCCTATCTGATCTACTAAAACCTACTAACATACCTAATTTCACAAAAACCTACTACTCTACCTAATCTAAGAAAAACCTACTACCCTACCTAACCCAACAATAACCTACTAAACCTACTACCCCACCTAACCTAACAAACACCTACTAAACCTACTACCCTACCTAATCTAAGAAAAACCTACTAAACCTACTACCCTATCTAACCTAAGAAAAACCTACTAAACCTACTACCCTACCTAATCTAAGAAAAACCTACTAAACCTACTACCCTACCTGATCTAACAAAAACCTACTAAACCTACTACCCTACCTGATCAAACAAAAACCTACTAAACCTACTACCTAACCCAACAAAAACCTACAAAACCTACTACCTGATCCAACAACTGCTTGAGACGACCCAGCTGCGCCTCCAGCTGATGATTGTGATCCTCCAGCACCCTCATCCTGGCCTCCAGCCTCCCCTTGTGGTGCCGCAGCAGTTTGGCTTCAGCCAGCATCTCCTCATCCCTGTTATTGCTGCCGTTCAAGCCTTCTTCCTCCCCGTATAGCCTGGGGGAGCTTCCAGACCTCTGTTGGGATGCTTGACGTAGTCGATCGTACTCAGCTTGCAATGTTCTGTTATAGTAGTTATATAAATAGATTACACTCTCTTGCGATGTTCAATAAATAATTTTAAATTAATCAAATTCTGCTTCAATTTTATTTAGATAACCCTTAAAAGTAAATAAGTTTAATTTTTCTTATTCAATCCATTTCTATATTAAATTTTCAAACTAAATAAAATAGGAAATCTAATTCTGTACATGTATGTGTAAAGAATTAAAAAACCTACTTCTATATAAACATAAAAACCTACTTGTATATAAATTATTAAAATAAAGTAGAGCCTACTTGTAGGTAAAGTATTGTAAAGACAAGTCAAACTTACTTGTTTTCTTCTTCAAGATCTCTAATCATGTGCTCCAATTCATGCCTCTGCTCAGCATCGACAGCCATCATAATCTGCATGGGACTTTTTAACTGAAGTCAAGAAACAATTGATGAAACAGCTGCTGCAACTGAGAGACTTAAAGCAGCGCTAGAACTAAATGTGTTAGAAAGTTGCTCTGACTTACAGCATGAGAGGAGGGGTCACCATTGAGGCTGGAGCAGTACTGGGCTATAAGGTGGTGCTCGTCCTCTCTAAGGAAAGAGAGCAGAAAAAGTTTTTAAACTGAGACAAAGAAGAGTTTCACACAAGTAAAGTACATTAAAAACACACAGTTAATATTTTTTTTAACAATGATAAGATTCATTAAATATCTGAACAATTGCATCAAATAGAATAAAACATTGAAATTATTCATGATTCTTCCCAAATTTTCAACAGTTTTAATATACTTTAAGCTGGAAATAGATCATGTACATATAATAATTACATAATGTAGTGATGTGCTTAAAAATTTATAAACCTAAACCTGAAAGCGTATAGTGGGATAATGCAAGAAAACATTCTGCCAAGATAGCAACAAATTTTTTAGTAAAAATCTTGTTTAAATAAAATACAAAGAGAAACTGCTGGGTTATGATAACATACATTTTTAAAGCTAAAAACCACTATAGCAAAACTAATAGAGGATGATGTATTAAAAAAAATGCTTTAAGGAGAGTGACTGTTCTTGATTTCCTAAAACCTGTTAAGAGTTATTAACTTGGGTACAACATGAAATAAGCAATGAAGTAAAGTTCAGAGTAAAGGGAGACTATAAGAATTCACCAGCGATTAAAACATTTGATAGCAGTTACACATGTGCTTTGTCATAATTTTTTCCTCAACCTTTCCCCCCCAAGTTTAATGATAAAAATATTTCTGAATCTAAAAAATAATTTTTTTTTCAATTGCTATTTCAGTCTTGGAAAAAAAAATTTATGACATTTAAATCAGAATGGTAATACAACTATAATGAAAAGGGAAATAAGAAAACAAATGTTTTGAATGGTTTAAAAGGCCAAGGGTCATGACATTTGTTAAAATAAACAACAGTTTAGGTTGTCACCCAGGGACAGATACTGGATATGACGTTTTAATTATTGACACCGTACCAGAGTATTTGGAGAATAAAAAAATGACACAAAAGATGAAATTAAAAACATGAAAAAAGTTTTTCTAGGTTAGAATTTAAAAACAACCAAACAACAACCAAGTGTTAAAGTACCTGTATTCATTTGTAAAGGTTTAAAAATTGCAACTAAACTTTAAAAACTGAAAGGTAACTATTTGCATCACTTTTGTGTGTAGTTTTTAAAATTTCTTTGATAAAAATAAAGACAGATACTTATTTTAATCTACAGTATGGTGTATTTTAAAATCTTTCTGTATGCAAGTTAGATCAATCCTAAATTAAAAAAACAAACAAATGGTCTTATGACTGAGTACCTGGATTTAACATAGGTTCTGAAAATAGAAAATAAAAGAGCATATAGCTCATTTTTGAGTCAAGTGTGTAGCCTACTAATGTGTTTATAGCCTACTAATGTGTTTATAGCCTACTAATGTGTTGATAGCCTACTAATGTGTTGATAGCCTACTAATGTGTTGATAGCCTACTAATGTGTTGATAGCCTACTAATGTGTTGATAGCCTACTAATGTGTTGATAGCCTACTAATGTGTTTATAGCCTACTAATGTGTTTATAGCCTACTAATGTGTTTATAGCCTACTAATGTGTTTATAGCCTACTAATGTGTTTATAACCTACTAATGTGTTTATAGCCTACTAATGTGTTTATAACCTACTAATGTGTTTATAGCCTACTAATGTGTTTATAGCATACTAATGTGTTTATAGCCTACTAATGTGTTTATAGCCTAATGTGAAATTAAAATTAGCAAATAGACTTAAAAACCTAATTAATTACATGTGCATTTCTACAGTAACGCAGGTGTTTTCATATTGTTTTAGTTAGTGATATTTCTTATAAAGCTCAACAATTTCAGATGGCATGCAATAAAACAAGTGAAAAGAGAAAATAAAATGTAAGCACCTCTTGATAATGTACTTTGATTTAATGAGACTGGCTGAGTGGGATTTAATTAGCAAATGCTCATCAGCCTCGCTGTGCAAGAAAGTGAACATGCAATCAATAAAAGTAAAAAATAAAATCATGCAATGAAACAATTCGTTGTCAAAATACTTTGCAGTTCTGGGGTCAAAATACTTTATAATGAAATTAAAATTAACTACATAATTGAACTAATTTGGTTTGTTGAAGTTTAATCATTTAATTAATTTTCTACAATTGATGTTGATGTCCAATCACTGATTCTAAAATAAATGCTAGGTATAAGTTATTTGCAGTCATGACCAAGCCAAAACTAGTCTGCACCCTAAGCCAAGTCAAACATGCGCAGGTCGTAGGGCTTTAGTCTGAGTGGGCTTGGTATGGAGGGGCTTCTGTCATGTCTATCTGTGTTTAATGCATGAGTGGTTGGATAGTGAATGGTGATATCAAGTGGACCATGAATGGTGATATCAAGTGGATCATGAATGGTGATATTAAATGGATAATGAATTGTGATGTTCAGAGAACAGTGAATTGTGAAGTCGCATAATGGAGAATGATGTTAACTGATGAACAGTGAATGATAAAACCCCATCAACAGTGAGTGGTAAGTTATATCTGAATGACGATGAGTATTGCCTATCTTTAAACAATCCATCAATCTCCACAAATGAACTAGCAACTAAAGCCAGTGAAAGAAAGAAACCACTACCTGGTGTGACTCTCACTAGTTTGTTTAATACTATCAGAAGGGTAAAGGTCTGAAGGTTTCTTTATTTCTTCAGTCCTGGAAGAGAGAAACACAACAATACACAGTGTGCTTGCTGTAGGTTAGCATAAACCTCTATCATTTCTTCCTTACAAACAAAAGCTGAACCATTTCTTCTTTACAACTAACCCATTAAAAAAAGTATTAAGTTTATTATGTGAGATTTTTAAAAACAGGAACAGAATTAGAAAGGAAACAATTGAGTGTGAAGAGAATAAAATGCTGGTGGTCTGTACCTGGTGGTGCTCAGTTTTTGAGAGGCCTGTGCTATCAATTTGTGCTCATCATGTCTGAAATGTTGGGGGATTTAATCTACATTAGCTTTTTGCTACACAAGAAACTTTCAGTGTAGCAGTTTAAGTTTATGACTGCTGTCATTTTATATTTGTTCCAGTAACTATTTTTTAAATACTTGTTGTGTGTCAGTATAATTTGTGACTGTTATAAGAATAATTTTTTGTGTTGTGTTATGGCTGGTACAAGAAAAAAAAAATCATAAAATAAAATTTGGTAACAAATAGTTGAATAGACCGAAATAAAAAAAAGAATAAAATCCTATCAATTCAAGAGATGGGAAGTAATCTATGAGTTATAACACACACAACTCTTCATCAGGCAAGCATTAGTATCATAACACAGAAACACTGATATACTTGATAGATACTTTGTGATAAATACATGGGATAATACTTTGGCTATTGTTTAAACATGTGTGCACAGAATATAAATACATTTTAAATAAAGACAGGGCTTCTCAAAATGTTAGTCACTTAAGTGTTATCAGTATTCTAATTTCCATTAGAAAGTTATAAAAATTACTTTCATTATATCAAGACACAGAGAAGTTTGCTTAGATGAAAAGGGCCAAGGGTGGAGCATATTTGAGAAGCCCTGCCCTAAAGTATACAGTGTTTTTCTGTCTACTTATTAGGGCTTAGTCCAAACAAGTTTTATCTTAACATTTGCAATTTTTAAATATCCCAGCTGAGGAGAACACTAAAAATAGACTACAACACACAAAAAATAACATGCTTAGGGCTGGAGTAAGTGAAGTTTAGTGGTAACTGTAGGGTGGGGGGGGGGGGGGGGGCAAGATGCATGGTATTACATGTTTGATTCAAAGCTGGTTGTTGTTAAAAACAAGTTGGAACTGCTACTGAACCAGCGTTGAATCAAAATGTTTAGCAGACACAAGGGAGACTGATGTGAAGAAAACTTACATGTCTGATGGCGCCCCCTGTCTTTGCTCCACTTCAGCAATCCTGGGAGAACAAAGGAAAAAATATCTCAAGCAATAGAAAGGACATAGGTGATGGAATGAATGAAGTTTTCAGCTCAGTGTTCATGTGTTTAGCTATGGTTGATTGAGGTAAATAAACTTTAGAATGTTAAAGCTGTAGTTTAAGGGATGATAGGTTAATGTAGGTGTTTTAGTTTGAATTATGACAGGTAAATGTAGGTGCAGTAGAACTTAGACAGGTAAATGTAGGTGCAGTAGAACAACAACAGGTAAATGTAGGTGCAGTAGAACAATGACAGGTAAATGTAGGTGCAGTAGAACAATGACAGGTAATTGTAGGTGCAGTAGAACAATGACAGGTAATTGTAGGTGCAGTAGAACAATGACAGGTAAATGTAGGTGCAGTAGAACAACAGGTAAATGTAGGTGCAGTAGAACAGTAACAGGTAAATGTAGGTGCTGACCTGCTAGACATCATCTCAAGTCTGGAATGCATGTCCTGGGAAATGCTGTGCTGAGGTGATGGGTTGGGGCTGAAACAACAGAGGAGACTTGTAGTCCAGCAGGCCAAGACATACACGTTGGACAAACATACATACAACAAACATATACATACAACAGAAGAGACAAACACATACATTCGACACAACAGACATTACAAACACTAATACAACATAATACATATATTACAGCAAGCTATGAAAAACATGTATGTATGTATATATATATATAAGTATATATATATATATATATATATATATATATATATATATATATATATATATATATATATATATATATATATATATATATATATATATATATATATAAGTATATATATATATATATATATATATATATATATATATATATATACTTATATATATAAATACACACATGTTGAATCACTGAGAGACTGAAACAGCTTTAAATGCAACACAACCAGGGATGATAAGTTAATTATTCTATGACAAAAACATCACAAGGGATATCTATAGAACTATTTTGTACTATACTATGAGAAAACATTTAAAGACTAATTCTTGAAGAAGCTTGTCATCAAAATTCTCATTAATCTATATCTGACCAAAAAATTTTGTTTTATATATAAATTGGTAGTTTTACCTACACAAAACCAACAGGTAGACAGACAACACTTAAGACACACTAACCCAACTGATAGACACAATAAACCCATGCACACCTGAAGCAGAAAGTTCAGACCTACTCACCTCTCTAAACTGTCACCTTCTAAATGAGAGTCTACTGGAAGATAGCCTCGACGTGGGTGTTTCTTAAAGTGTCGTTTAGACTTGAATTTATTCTTGAACACTTTGGAGAAGTCTCTCACATCTTCACCAGAGGTGGTCTGTGAACACAGGAGAGTTATTACATGCAGACTAGTACAGCTCTATACACAAGCTTAAACTCATAGCGTTAGAAAAATTCTAAACTGATTCCTCTATACACAAGCTTAAACTCATAGCGTTAGAAAAATTCTAAACTGATTCCTCTATACACAAGTTAAACTCATAGCGTTAGAAAAATTTTAAACTGATTCCTCTATACACAAGCTTAAACTCATAGCATTAGAAAAATTCTAAACTGATTCCTTTAAACAACAGGATATTCTGACTTATATACGGACTGGACCCCTATAAGACGACCCTCAACTGTTCCAGTTGAAAAGATAGTTTGGAATGTATCAATATCAGTCTTATAATATGAGTAGTATAAAACAACCCTAGATTTTTAAGATGATTTTCCTGGATTAAAAAGTAGCCTTATACTCCAGAAAATAGGGTAGGCATGGCTAATAGCTCAGTTTCTAGTAGATAATTTAACAATAACATCATTTTTGGCACTGAGATTAATATTGTATTTAATGTAGACCAGTTATAGCAAGAAGTTATTTGAACCAAACAGACAAGTATAGTGTAGAGCAAGATTTGTGTGCGTAGAGACACTTACAGTCGTGCAGTACTCCTGCATGGGATGGGTCAACTTGTGGCTTTTTGCTGTACGACCAGAGAAGAAACAATTTTGACAAACATCAAAATTGAAACATTTCAGGCAGCGGTATCTGGAGAAAACAGAAGAAATTCATACACCATTAGAAAAGGTCACAATTATTGGCCTCATTACTTAGTGTCACAATTATTGGCACCATAACTTAGTGTCACAATTATTGGCCTCATTACTTAGTGTCACAATTATTGGCACCATAACTTAGTGTCGCAATTATTGGCCTCATTACTTAGTGTCACAATTATTGGCACCATAACTTAGTGTCGCAATTATTGGCCTCATTACTTAGTGTCACAATTATTGGCACCATAACTTAGTGTCGCAATTATTGGCACCATTACTTAGTGTCGCAATTATCGGCACCATTACTTAGTGTCACAATTATTGGCACCATTACTTAGTGTCGCAATTATTGGCACCATTACTTAGTGTCGCAATTATTGGTACCATTACTTAGTGTCGCAACTATTGGCACCATTACGTAGTGTCGCAATTATTGGCACCATTACTTAGTGTCGCAACTATTGGCACCATTACGTAGTGTCGCAATTATTGGCACCATTACTTAGTGTCGCAACTATTGGCACCATTACTTAGTGTCGCAATTATTGGCACCATTACTTAGTGTCGCAACTATTGGCACCATTACGTAGTGTCGCAATTATTGGCACCATTACTTAGTGTCGCAACTATTGGCACCATTACTTAGTGTCGCAATTATTGGCACCATTACTTAGTGTCGCAACTATTGGCACCATTACGTAGTGTCGCAATTATTGGCACCATTACTTAGTGTCGCAACTATTGGCACCATTACTTAGTGTCGCAACTATTGGCACCATTACGTAGTGTCGCAATGGTAGAAATTATCACACTTATTAAGAGCAACTGATACATTTGTAGAGGGGTTGAGGATAAAATCTTTGCCATTAAAACTTAGAAGAAAGAATATTTTAAAAAAATGTTTATGCCATTAGAAACCATGAATGCACAATCATGGTTTATAAAATAGAGTGACCATCTTACTATTTATTTCCTGATAAAAATCTCAAGAAAAAAAAACAAGTCCCTACCTGAAACCAACAATAGGGAATTCCTTGCAAACATTACATTTAGCTTGGTGCTTGGCTGTCTCAGCGGCAGCAAGGCGATGTAGTACTGGCAGCCAGACCAGTGACTGGGGTTCTAGCTTCAGCCATTCCAAGAAGTGGCTGGCTTCTATTTCTGGTCTTCCATTGGCCTAATTCAAGCAAAACACACGTGTTAACTGGTACTCACTTCCAATAAACATTGCTTTTTTAAACAAGATACATAAGTAGAAAAGGTTTAAATACACACCTATCTATTGCACGACAAAGTAAGAATTTAATTTTAGAAATAAAAAAATATTTAGATAATTTATATCTTTTAAAACATTTATATGCTAATTTTACTACAGAATACCCTCATTCTACTTCTTTAGGTATTAGTTCTTACACTTATTAGTTCTGTAAGAAAATCTCACTTTTTCAAAACAACTGCGGACACTGGGTTCAATGTTACTGCCACCAAAGGATGCGATCTCACCAAGCTGTCTTGGAATCTGCATGCAGTCGTGCAACAGCAGTCCGAGCTTCCTCTGGTCAGCAAAGGCATTAGTGTCTGCGATTAGTCTGAAAATATCTGGAAAAGAGGACACATTTAGATAATATTTTTTTCATGTTTTAAACAGCATAATAAAAATGAATCAAAAATAGCCTGGTATTGACTGATTTAATCCGTAGCTTAGAGGTAAACTTGTTCACATGTGAAGTATTCAGAAAAATCTTTCTCCATCCCCACCCAGACTATCCCACAAGATAAAACACATTAAGTTTTGTATGTTATACGTGACTTAGATCAAATAAAGTTTATTATACGTGACTTACATCTGTATTTGTCTTCTAGCTGAGCTTGACATAACAAGACAAGGCCAATCTTGAAGGACAGTACTCGTACCTTGCCACTTCTCACACTGACAGGAATAAATGTCAAAAATAATTAAAGACGGCATTCAATGTAGAGAAAAATGTATGTCAGAAAAAAAGGATATTACATTAAACAGAAATAACATTTACAAACACTAGTTCAACACACATTAAAAAAAATGGTCAAAAATTAATTTGTTTAACAACTCTGATAAAAAAGCAATTCTAAGAATTTTATTAAGCAAGCTGTTATTCTAAATAATTGTGGGAATATTTGAAGTTTATGTACAACAGAATAAATACAAAAACAAAAACAACAAATACAAAACAAATCAACTAACATGACCAATACAAAACAAAAAGGAAAAAAAAGAAAGAGAGTTTGACACTAATCACCTGTCATAAATGTCCAATATCCAGTTTAAAGTGAGGTCTATGGATAGAGGCACATTGACAATCTGTGGATGCTCTTTAGCTGCTGTCTCGAAAATTGTAGACAAGCACTCAATCATCTCCCCTACATCTATTAACTTGTCATTACGTCCCCTTAATCCATGGCTGTCAAAAGCTTCGACTGCCATTTGTAAGGACACCATATCCACTGGAACAACAAACATTAGAGGTAATGTGGCATTTGTAAGGACACCATATCCACTGGAACAACAAACATTAAAGGTAATGTGGCACTCAAAGAATTATAGACCCCTTTTTTTTTACTTCTATCTACATTGGAGATACTTATTAATTAGTGTAAAATATTTATTTATTTAGGAGTAATTAATAGGATATCTTTTTGCTCGGATATATTATACATTTAAAAAAAAAAGTAAATATTGTGCTTGAATTATTCCATTTTGTAGAATAAGCTCCATGAGAAAAACAACAGATGTTTGTCAATAAAAAAATATCTTCACTTGGTTTAGCGAAACAAGTTTAGAGTTTAGATTTTCAAGTTGTGATTAAAGTTTGTTTAGTCAGATTTTGGTACAATAATCTAATGTCAACACAGTAGCATTATACTTACAGCATAGTTTTTTCTGTAACATTCTTAATTTCATGCCTGTTCGGTACGCAGCAAAGCGAATTTTGTTCAACTCCACTGAAACAAATCATACATACAGTTCAGATGTGACAGTTTGTCGATGACTTTTAAAAGAAATAAACTATTTAATAATGTCAGAATCTAGAACTAGAGAAAATAAAAGGTCTGGACAAATAAAAAATAATTCCTACTCAATGCGTCCATGAGAATAGTTAGTTGAGGGTGGTCCCACTGAGTTGTTTCTGTTGCATGACTGAGAAGAAAAAAATATATATTATAGAGTGGCTTCCCTTAATTTCATCTCAAGACTAGCTGCTTTTTTCTAATGATTAAACTAGAACATAGTCAAAGGCAGTGTTTCTTCCAGACTTTTTTCTCCGGGGGGGCACTTGAAATTTTCGGGGGGGGCGGTAGACTTTCTTCGGGGGGGGGGGCGGACACTGTTAAAAGTATATATTTTCTATATAAATTATATAAATTTCATTTCGTTCGGGGGGGCGGTAAAAAATTTTCGGGGGGGCAAAGCCCCCCCGAAGAGATGCCTGGAAGAAACTCTGGTCAAAGGTCACAAAAATCAATACTTAAATCAATACTTCCAATCACCTTTGCTCAGGTTTAAAAAAAAAAATGACTTACTTGATATAATAAGGCAACTTTTGCTCAGGTTTTAAAAAAAAAATGACTTACTTGATATAATAAGGCACCTTGTTCCCTGCGACTGCCCTTTCCCAAGAACCGTCGACAGAGTCTGAAAAAAATTAACTATTGATAATTCCTGCAGTTGACATATTGCTAATTACATGTTGATGCTGTTTATTGAATAAAACCTTACTGTACCTGTAAGGTTCATGGGTCAGAGGAGGGAGGTATAGAATAGATAAGACAAGTGAAGTCAAGAGAATAGAAAAAATATTTCAATGAGATTATAATTTTCCTGCGTGGCAAGCCTGCACTAGCCAGATTATTGACACATTGCAAAAGTTGCTGATTTTCTAACTAACAGCCCTAAATAAGGAAACCTGGTTTAAATTGAGAGTATTTTACTCTAATCATTATTTAATGTCGTTTAGATATTTGTAATGTATTTCTTTCCATCCAATTACTTCCCTTTAGGTTGACTAAAGTACTAAATTTTAGATATAGATCTAGGTCTAAGAGTCTAAGTTGATTAACTGAATAATCTTATCTTAGTAACTAGAGTCTAGAAAGTTTAGTAATTTAGTTAGTTGCCTGATCTTCAACGTACTTAATACTAAAAAGTTAATAAGGCTAACTAAGGAGTTAGAAAATTAGATGATTTACAATTAATTTACATGCATCTGAAAACATTTTAATAAACAAACAAGAAATCGTTGAGAAATTAAATTACAACAATAATGCATAGCATTGCCAAATTCAAGAAGCATGTGTTGGACTGAACTTGCCTATTAACAAAAAAAGTTAAACTCAAAATATTTTATTTTTAAAATAATGAAAACCCAAGTTTGACCCAGATCGATGTCGTGCGCTAGTCTCGCGGTTAAAAACAAAAACGAATCGTATTGAATAAAATTTACTAGTGTAAGTCTACGGGTCATCATGATAGGCTTGTATTGTAATCATAAGGGGAGGCAAGCCTGTGGCCTGAATCTATATTAGATCAGTAGGAGCTAGGCAACGTAATTCATCCATCTTGCGGCCATACTATTGGAAAATGTTCCTTTGTTAAATATATTGATCAGCCAGGCATAACAAAGACGGTACATAAATAATTACTTGATTGTGATACGTTGAGTCATCGGACATTTTCTATACCGCAGTTTTGTCGATCGGGCAATGTTAAACATTGGATGCTACTCATTTGCTGATTTAGGCAACATAGTATCTCTATTTTCTTTCTCTCTCTCTCTCTCTCTTAATAATACTTTATATATATATATATATATATATATGTATATATATATATATATATATATATATATATATATATATATATATATATATATATATATATATATATATATATATATATATATATATATATATATATAGGTTGGGTCTGACACGTGCTCCTGTAGATATAAAAAAAAAAGATTTCTAAATTACACCATCAAGCCCCCCCCCCCCCCCCATGAGTTGTCTGAAGACGTTTTACTGAATCTATATTTAGACGTCTGTGTCTTCAAGAAAATACAAGGCAGATCTCTATTATTTTGTTTTTGTTTCAACATTCGTAGCCAGGGGCGTGTTAGGACGGTCACAGGAAGGTGAACTTTGAACCTTGAACCTCTCACCACGACACATAACTTCACTGACAACGGCTGATGGTTTCTCTCAGCACAAGAGAAGGGAACTCTAACTGATGGTGTAAAGGGATGTAACTTAAGTCGTTCGATTTGGGTAGGTAGGAGTGTTGTAACATAACCAAGCGTCAGCTGATGCTGTTTTATTTAAACACAGTTAAAGGAATCACAGACTTGCTGATAAAACTTTTTAGCTGAGAGAAGAAAAAAGTAGAGTCTGATGCTGCGTGATGTTTAAATACAGCACAAGTCAATTAAACTGTTTTTTTCTAGATTGCACGCGCTAATCATCACGTGATTCATCAAAGCGAAGTTTGGCGAGCTACATGACTCAGACAAATGTGATTCACACAAACATTTGAAAAAGTTGTCTCCACTGGGCCAAGCCTCTTCCGGCAACATCTACATTGAATGTTGTATGTGAATCTTCAACAAATGTTGGATGTGAATCTACAACAAATGGTGTATGTGAATCTACAACAAATGTTGTATGTGGCCAGTTAAATGGCCAGTCAGATCTACAACAAATGTTGTATGTGGCCAGTCAGATCTACAACAAATGTTGTATGTGGCCAGTTAAGTGGCCAGCCAGATCTACAACAAATGTTGTATGTGGCCAGCCAGATCTACAACAAATGTTGTATGTGGCCAGTTAAGTGGCCAGCCAGATCTACAACAAATGTATGTGGCCAGTTAAATGGCTAGCCAGATCTACAACAAATGCTGTATGTGGCCAGTTAAATGGCCAGTCAGATCTACAACAAATGTTGTATGTGGCCAGTTAAATGGCCAGCCAGATCTACAACAAATGTTGTATGTGGCCAGTTAAATGGCCAGCCAGATCTACAACAAATGTTGTATGTGGCCAGTTAAATGGCCAGCCGAATCTACAACAAATGTTGTATGTGGCCAGCCAGATCTACAACAAATGTTGTATGTGGCCAGCCAGATCTACAACAAATGTTGTATGTGGCCAGCCAGATCTACAACAAATGTTGTATGTGGCCAGCCAGATCTACAACAAATGTTGTATGTGGCCAGTCAGATCTACAACAAATGTTGTATGTGGCCAGTTAAATGGCTAGCCAGATCTACAACAAATGTTGTATGTGGCCAGTTAAATGGCCAGCCAGATCTACAACAAATGTTGTATGTGACCAGTCAGATCTGCAACAAAAGTTGTAGCCTATGTGGTTTCACGACTCAGTATGTACCTAAGATTCGAACCCATGCCAAACACCATGTGTAGTTACAACTATAGACTTTAGGGAAATATAGACAGTCCACTAGAAAATACCCACCAATAGAAACACGGAATGCATTTATAACCTTAGGCCCAGATTCCGCAGCCACACGCGTCATGATTGGCTACAAGCTGTTCCTCAAAAGTCAATCCCAATTATTTCACTGAGGATCTTTAAACACAAGTTCACCACATGCTAGCCACAAGTTAGGAGTAAAATCCGTGCAAGTAACAACACCGTAACAGCCGAGGGTCAACGAGTACTTGAGTGTGTATGACGTAGTACGCAAGCATTGACACGGTCAGGTCCAGACTGTAGCCAGCAGTGTGAGAATTGGAATCTAATCCTGCACAACTACACACTGATATTTTAAAAGGTGTTGCAAAAACGCAACAAAACACAACACTAGCAGTCAGACGAGAGTTTGAAAATCCGCCCCAAAAAACAAGAAAACCAACAGAAAACTGCCCAGGAAAGTCGAGGAATGCACGAGCAGACGAAGGTCAACTCAACAAGCAGACGTCAATATGGAGGCGACATGACTCGCCACTGTTGTGACTGGAGTCTGGCACAACGAGCAGAAGCCAGGCACGTCGCGGGAATGTCGCGGACACTTCTGCCGTTTGAAATTTATCACCCCCGGGGACAGAGTAAAAGCGGGGGGGAATTGATCAGGAATTGATTCGGGTGACGTCAGAACATTACAAGAGGAGAGGCTTACAACGCATCTAGAAGATTAGCTACAGAGGACGATAGCTTGCTCGTCCCCACCCCCTCCCCCGGTCCTCTCTTTTTAAAAATGGCCTCCCCCCTCTCCCACTGGCGAATAAGTATTGATCGCTGTGACATGAGACTTGTCGTTTTAACCTCCGCGTTTCCATCCAATTAAGTTAAGCCAACTCGGCAGATTCGAACAGTGAAAGGGGGATCTCAAAACCCAATGGTCGAGCATGGTTTGGTGAAAATGGTTGGGGGGGGGGGGGGGGTGATTGAGGGGTAACGTTTTAGTTAGAGCAAGTCCTTGGACATTACGTCCAGTTAGGGAACATGAGCCGTTAATGGGAATTGTTCCTGGATAAATAAGGTGGATTCTTATAGCCAGTGTAGACGATCAGTTTAAAGTCAGAAGTCCAGTCTGTGTTAGAGAAGACAGTCAACTAGCAGAGGTGGTGGTACTAATGGTCAACTTAAGACAGTCCACTAACATAGGTAGTGGTACTAATGGTCAACTTAATACTGATGGGATCGTCAAAATTAAGTAGAAAGTCCACACAGCTAACGAAAACGAAGGAAAAAATCAGAAAATAAACTCATCCAGATTTGATGCTAACAACTAAATTATGGGGGTAGAGGGATTGAACTCACCAGGCTGCTGTGATATTTACCTCGAAAGTAAATTCAATAATTAATTTCTAAAATAGCAACACAAGGCTATAGGGTTTTATAGGTGGAAGATTAGCTAACAATGGAAGGAAATGCTAATAGCGGTCAAACGGGCAAAACTGGACGGTGGTAGCACGGCTTTGATTGGTCAGTTCACGTGGATCACTTTAACCAACAGGCAAACATGGGCTGTGAATGGTGATTTATTGTGTCAAAATAGCGAATGATTTTGAAAACTTCACCAGGTCTAACGCAGGCGGCACCGTGTCACGTGTGCTGGATCTACAACAAAACGGTTGCCCAACCTCTCCCCTGGGTCTCATAGACAAGCACACCAATGACCGGGGATTATCTCTGGGGGCCCACCGACATTTATTTCTGGGGGCCCACCTGGTATTACCCCGCTTGACTGGCGGGCCACCCCACCCCTTATAATACATGCTTGCTAACACAGTGGGTAAAAATATGCCGGCGACATATTGTCATGATTATCCACATCCATCATCCTCCATCCACACTTAGTTTATCACCCAACTATGGCTCAATAGAACAGGGGACATAACACATTATAGCCCATCCATGACAGGGTTCACTGCGAAAGGTAAAGGTATTTTTATCTTCTTCGGGAGGGCGGTATCGAAGTTACTTTTCCCCTCGGTATCGATAGAATAATTCTAGCCATAACAATACAACTTTTCTTTTCCGATACGATACCTCACAGGACAACTTACAAGTACCCAGGCCAACATAAAAATATCCCTCATGAAACAAAAAAAACAACACGTGACTGTAGGAGTACTCAGCACTGGAAATGTTTAACCAACTGTTCCATAAAGATGGTTTTTATTCCCCCCCTCCCCCCAACCCACCAAACATGGCGTGGCCATGCTCTAGTCTGGCCATCCGTTGATGGATGGTGGTTTGCTCGACACTGTGGCCAAATTTTAATAACCCCATCTCTAACGGTAGGCTCTCAGGGGAAATAACACACAGAAACAATACATCAAGGGAGGCAAGGACTCTGTTAAAAGGGGAGTTAAATAGATCACTGAGTGGGACAAGGTGTGTAGGGAGTGGGACACGGTGTGTAGGGAGTGGGACACGGTGTGTAGGGAGTGGGACACGGTGTGTAGGGAGTGGGACACGGTGTGTAGGGAGTGGGACAAGGTGTGTAGGGAGTGGGACACGGTGTGTAGGGAGTGGGATAAGGTGTGTAGTGAGTGGGACACGGTGTGTAGGGAGTGGGTCACGGTGTGGTGTAGGGAGTGGGACACGGTGTGTAGGGAGTGGGACACGGTGTGTAGGGAGTGGGTCACGGTGTGGTGTAGGGAGTGGGACACGGTGTGTAGGGAGTGGGACACGGTGTGTAGGGAGTGGGACACGGTGTGTAGGGAGTGGGACACGGTGTGTAGGGAGTGGGACACGGTGTGTAGGGAGTGCGACAAGGTGTGTAGGGAGTGGGACACGGTGTGTAGGGAGTGGGACAAGGTGTGTAGGGAGTGGGACACGGTGTGTAGGGAGTGGGACACGGTGTGTAGGGAGTGGGACAAGGTGTGTAGGGAGTGGGACACGGTGTGTAGGGAGTGGGACAAGGTGTGTAGGGAGTGGGACACGGTGTGTAGGGAGTGGGACACGGTGTGTAGGGAGTGGGACACGGTGTGTAGGGAGTGGGACACGGTGTGTAGGGAGTGGGACACGGTGTGTAGGGAGTGGGACACGGTGTGTAGGGAGTGGGACACGGTGTGTAGGGAGTGGGACACGGTGTGTAGGGAGTGGGACACGGTGTGTATGGAGTGTCACTAGCGGGGTGGAGAGAATAGATGAATATTATCGCACTAAGTATTATTGCCCTTATATTAATGGAGGGAATGGATGAATATTATCGCCCTTATATTAATGGAGGGAATGAACCCAAATATGATCGTTCTGAAATGAATGGAGGGAATGAACCCAAACATTATCGCCCTTATATGAAATAACCGGTTAACTATTATCATCATTTAATAATGAGAATAAAAATATATTACTTCCCTTTAAATCAGGGGTCTCCAAACTACGGCCCGCGGGCCGGAAGCGGCCCGCGAAGTCCTCTCATCCGGCCCGCAGAGATCTTTTTGTCTAAGGAAAAATCGTTTGTTGGTGATGGCTGAGGGACTTTGCCCAGAAAAATCAAAGACATGCCTGGAAGAAAATGGCCCCCGAACTGAAATTTGATAGTTAATCCGGCCCTCGGACTGAAAAGTTTGGAGACCCCTGCTTTAAATGATAAATATAAATTGTATGAACACTTTTTTATAAACGTAAAGTCGGACCGTTGAAACCGTTGTAAAAAAAAATATAGCACTCACAAAACATTGGAACTAAACATGAATGTAAAACATTACTCTATACATTTGTTTTAAAAACCTTTGTATGTAGTAGTAAACATCTTTAAATTATTCAATGTTAAATATCGACCAAGAGTATGAAACAAAAGTCGCTATTTCGTTGAATATCCCCACTAGTGAAATTTGTGTGGAACCGAGGTTTTAAAGTAAGTGGGTACCCACAAGAGCAAAGTGGCGGTATTTTTACGGTCTTCACCAGACACAAATTTGTTTCCTGTGAGTTGGACGATTGAATTAGCCTTGCTGACGTACGCACTCCAGGGGGGTAACTCGCGGTAAAAAAATATTCCAGAAGATGTAATTAAAATTGTGTATTCGATTTTTTTCCTTACAGATGGAAAACACGGACAAAATATTTAAGCAAAAGCGGACAAAATTTTAAAGCAACGGCTAAATTTTTTTTTTAAAAGCAAATACAGACAAAATATTTCGGAATTGGGACTTGGTTAGCGACTCACAATTTTTGTGTGTCACCGTTTGGTTGTTTGTCTAGCAGACGACAGAGCAGTAATGGAGGTGATTTAATGGAGGAAAATATCAAATGTGTGACCGACAAAGATGGACGAACACAGGGGGAGGGAGTAAAACTGGAGGGAAGAAGGGAGGTAAGGAGGGAGGTAATGATTTGCATAAATGGGACGCGGAAAGATAAAATCTATTTTGTAATTTCGATTTCATTCATTTTATCTTAGAGACGTTGCTATGACGACGGCCGTGTTGAGCAGCCACGGCTACAAAACAGACGAGACATTTTTTTACTCTGGTGTAGCGGTTATTTCATGCATGTTGACTCTCACATACACGGAACAATTCTCGACAACTATTTGCTTATTGTTTACATATCTTTACGCTTTTATATAGGCCTATAGGCCATATATATACATACATACATACATACATATATATATATATATATATATATATATATATATATATATATATATATATATATATATATATATATATATATATTTATACATTATATACACATATAAATACACACACACACACACACATATATATATATATATATATATATATATATATATATATATATATATATATATATATATATATATATATATACAAATATATGTATATGTATGATATAGATATTGATAAATACATAAATACACACAGATACACATATATACATACACTTATACACACAGATACGAATGTGAAACAAAAAATATTTTTATCATATTTTCTACTTAATTTAAACTAGTAATAGAATTGTTCAGCACAAAAAGAGAATCAAATCAACAAACAAAAAAGAGAGACAATTGCATTTATTTATGGGTAAAATTGAGTTATTCCTCTGGCTACATAAAAGGGGAAAAGGGTTAAGAAATTGTCTACGAGCACCAAATTAAATGGTTAATTTATAGAATTGAGTGTTGTCATAGAAACCTTTGTAAGGAACAAGGTAGATAACCTACAGAGAATAGAGTCACTCTCCTGCACAGAAGTTGCAAATGAAAGATAAATTGACGTTTGGAGAAGAGGCTTTTTTTCTGGGAAACTTCATGCAATAAAAGTTAGAGATACTGTTGTCTACTAGGCTATAACGGGAAACGCGGCTATTGCCTGCAATATCACAATCAGTGTTTCTTCCAGACTTTTTTTTCCGGGGGGGCACTTGAAATCTTCGGGGGGGGCGGTAAACTTTCTTCGGGGGGGCGGACACTGTTAAAAGTATATATTTTCTATATAAATTATATAAATTTCATTTCGTTCGGGGGGGCGGTAAAAATTTTTCGGGGGGGCTTCGCCCCCCCGAAGAGATGCCTGGAAGAAACTCTGATCACAATATAGACAGTAAACATACTGGATAGTCCTTCTCAGAAAACTAAACATAGGATAATTTCTGTCCGACAACACAACATAAAGGATAATCCTTCTTAGACATCAAAGGATGGAGGATTATAACAAGCAAAGTTTGATTTTACCATGATAGAAGATCAGGTAATTTCAAATCTGATCAAGTTAGGTGGGTATTGCACCTGACTGCAATCTACAGTTATCTTCTTTATAGAAATGTATATTACAACAACACAGTTCAACAGCATTATGTCCTTATTACACACTACACAGCTCAACAACAGTATGTCATGCACTACATACTTGCAGTGTATCACATATTGTTTACATTGAGTACTGTACCACATGCTAACAGTACAGTCTAGCATACGGTACACGTATTAGAGTTCCAGATTAGAGCCCAGGTGAGACAATATACATCTGGCGTGTGACTCACCTGTTAAGAAATGCTGTGAATTTGGACCATAAGCATTAAGGGCATCTTGTAAATGCTGAAGTCGGTCTTGTAACATTTGATTTAAGGCGTCCCACCTGGTGATTCAAGGATAAGGAGTCAGACATGTGACATCTTCTTATGTGTCAGACATGTGTCTGACATGTGGCGTCTACTAAGTGTCAGACATGGGCATCTTCTAATGTGGCAGACATGTGGCACCTTCTAATGTGTCAGACATGTGGCATCTACTAAGTGTCAGACATGGGCATCTTCTAATGTGTCAGACATGTGGCATCTTCTAATATGCCAGACATATGGTCATCTTCTAATGTGTCAAATGTATGTGAATTTTACACATCTTAAGTTGGCATTTAAATGTTATTTATGTGAAAGTAGGTCTATGTCCATCCTAATAAAGAGACATAGTGAACTTGACTTTAGGAAATCTAGACAATCATCTAAGTCAAATTTAAACCTTAACTCTTCCCATGGTTGGTTTTATCACTTAGACTGCTTGACAAGAGGTATTATCTGAGTTGATTAAGGATACATTTTACAGGTGAAAATTCTACTAGAGGCTTATGTTAAAGCGTTGGTGTGTGTATGAAAGTTGGTATTCTATGGAGTAAATGTGCAATAAGAAGAGCTGAATCTCTAGAACAAGAGACAGCTCAGTTAGAAGCGTTATTTAAATATTGGTCAGCAAGTGACCTACTGACCTCTGGGTGAAGTCCTCCAGTCGATGTACGTTGTGATGAGAGAGAATGACGTCAGCTTCCTGTAGTCTGTTGGCCTGGTCAGTGACGTCATCCACCTGACCTTGGAGGGGGTACTTGAGCTGGAAGGACTGGAACCACAGAGAAAGTTTTTTTAATCACAGACCACATAGACATGTACACAGGGGGTACTTGAGCTGGAAGGACTGGAACCACAGAGAAAGTTTTTTTAATCACAGACCACATAGACATGTACACAGGGGGTACTTGAGCTGGAAGGACTGGAACCACAGAGAAAGTTTTTTTAATCACAGACCACATAGACATGTACACAGGGGGTACTTGAGCTGGAAGGACTGGAACCACAGAGAAAGTTTTTTTAATCACAGACCACATAGACATGTGTACAGGGAACATCAGACATCAGTTTTAATTACAAACCACATACAAAGGTACATCATGGTTTTAATCACAGACAACATGGAAACACAGAGCAACACAGTAGCTGACCTATTACACATGTGTTGGGGATCACAACACAGTTCCTATCAGAGACCACAGAACACATGTGTGTAGAGGGCTACATTAGACAACTACATCAAGCTGTTTGACATCCCATTACCACACTGACACTCACCTTAGTCCTATCTATTTCAGCTTGCAACTCTCCAATGATTATGTCCCCTACATTAGGCCAGTCTTTTATCTCCCTTTCTGCAGCTACGAGCCTGTCATGGAGGTTGTCCATAGATTCATGGAAGATACCCATTCTCTGTGAGCAGGGGAGATAACTTTTATTTCAAAATATTATCACAGACAGCGGCTTATTGTATGTAAATGACAATAAAGAACTTGATATGTGTGCAGTAAATTTGATCTTATTTTCAATTATAATAATGATTTTGATATTCTTTAATGTAAACTTTTAACGCTTAAAAAAATGCAAAGTATTACATGTGTTGTATTGGATGCATAAGTTGTACCAGTAATAATGGCATGTGTTTTACCAGATCCATATAGATAGTTGCAGCACATACATGAATTGTGTTATACCAGATGAATGTTTCACTAGGTTAATGTTGTACCATATGAATGTTTCACTAGATTAATGTTGTACCAGAAGAATGTTTCACTAGATTAATGTTGTACCAGATGAATACTTCACTAGGTTAATGTTGTACCAGATGAATGTTTCACTAGAATAATGTTGTACCATATGAATGTTTCACTAGATTAATATTGTACCAGATGAACCACATGTAGTACCCCATGTGGTACTGTGCAGTACCACAGTCTAAGCCTCACCCACCTCGACAACCTCGTCCAGCTTGATCTGCCAGCTGAGGGTGCCCTGCTTACACTCCTGCCATTTTTTGTTCAACAGTTTCACCTGGTGCCTGATCTTGCGGATTAAGTGGCGTGCGTCTTTCTCCGGGGTGCCATCCGGTCCACTGTCATCTGTGGATTGCAGAAAAGCTTCAGTCAAATGGTGCTTGGTGTACAAACACAAATGTACACACTAGTGGTACACATACGTATACACACTAGTCACACACAGTTGTAATTAAATCATGATACAGATACTGAAAGCTACCAATCACTAATGAGCTCTAGAATTGAAATACAATGAGATAAGAAAAAAAAATTAAAAAAAAAACCATAGGACATGAATAAAGAATGCTTTAAATTACAATCAACACTTTTAATGTTTGTTAAAAAAAATTAAATTCTAGATCTGAAATACAAATAGATAAGATAAACAGAAAAAAAAACCATTGTCCATGTAACAAAAATGACTTTTAAAGTAAGTAACGAAAATCTTCTACTGAATGGAAGGCAAAAATTTTTCTAATTTATATTCTCAGAGCTCACACACACATACAACCAATTGCACCTTAGAAAAATAATTCTTTGCAATAATTTTTTAAAATCTCTGATAAAGCCACATCAATTTTTACACTGAGAGAAAAAAAATATGATCGATCAACTGAGATAGTTCAGTCTTTAAATGTCATCTTTTATTAACGATCTCTATCAGAAATATTTCAAGCCACCCCTCTGCAGTTCCTACTGAGGGGAGGTCACTCACATTATTTTAAATAGCTGGAATAGAGGACAGAGGTCAACTTCTGTTCCAATTTAAACCAAGGAAAAAAAACAACTCTCTAACTATAACCAAAACATCATTCTCCAACTACAAAACAAAGTCAACCCTCTGACTATTAAAAACAACTCTCTAACTATAAAAACAACTCTCCAACTATATCAAAAACATCAACTCTCCAACTATAAAAAAACAACTCTCTGACTATAAAAACAACTCTCTAACTATAAAAACAACTCTCTAACTATAACAAAAACATCAACTCTCCAACTATAAAAAAAACAACTCTCTAACTATAAAAACAACTCTCTAACTATAAAAACAACTCTCTAACTATAACAAAAACATCAACTCTCCAACTATAAAAAAAAAACGACTCTCTAACTATAAAAACAACTCTCTGACTATAAAAACAACTCTCTAAATATAAAAAAAAAACATCAACTCTCCAGCTATAAAATAAACATCAACTCTCCTATTATAAAACATCAACTCTCCCATTGCAAGAGAACAAGACAGAACTCTCCCATCTAAAATGCATCGAAATATACCAGAGTACTATATTAAGGCATGAAAAAAAATCAATGTTCAATTTGAGCCAGTGTCTGACCAAGTAGGGAGGGATCAGCAGGATTGAGCCATCAGCACTAGAGTCACCACCTAGCACCAGCATGAGGTCCCACTGATAAACTTCACGTCTGCTTCAGATTAGAGGCTAAATATTCTACTTCACGCTGGCATTTCCTTATTAGAAGAATTTTTTAGTTGTCTTTTTACATTAAAGAAAATAATTTTTTAGTATCAGTTCTAGTTCAGTTTACAATCACATCCAGCTAAATACAATTTTTTTTTGCTTGTTTTTGCCATCATCTAAGTCAGTAAAAAAATAATTTAAAATGAATAAATTCCTCTTAAAAAAGTGAAGCTACAAAACTAGAATTTTTGGAAGGAAATGAGAAGGAAGTCCTAAAGGTCACAGGGAAGATTTCTACCCTGCAGCTTTTTGGTGGAAAATAATTTTTTGTCAATTTATATCTTGTTTATGTTGCTTTAAATGTCTCCCCCGGATGTCATAGTTTATGTTAGAAGCTGTACAGAAATCTAGGACACACTGTTAAAAACATGGAACGGTTTTTGTGAATCAAAACTTTCACTTCCTAACAAAAAAACAAAAACAAAAAAAAAACAACCCACAACAGAATGAAGGTAATTAGCAGGTACCTGCACTGTCTCCCCCACTATCATAGCGTGCATCCTCCCCCTCCTCCCTCAGGTAGAACCTCCCAGCCTCCAGGCTCTGTTCTATCAGAGGGCGCTTCAACTCTAGTTGGTTCTGTAGGCGCTATCAATACATACATCAAAACATGGCATTAGGGGAATTACATTTTAACAGCTTTAAAAAAAAATGGTTTCGCTTGTGAAATTAGACTGATGTTTTTTTTTTTAGAAACTCCAAGATATTCACAAGAAAAGCCATTTAAAAAAAAATGCTGTAAATTCATTTTTAAAAATCTGCTAACTTATAAAATCTCTTATCTATGATAAAATAAAGTAAAAGAAAAAAATAATTCCCATGAATCATAGTTTAGATGAAGCTGGCACATTTTTTGGGGTAAGAAGATTTTAATATGAAATCAAATCTTTCTCTGATCAGTTTTTTCCCCTTGGTGGGAATTATTAAAATAAAAAAAATAATAAAAAGTGGAAAAAGAAAGTTTTGATAAATGAAGAAGTAATTACATCCTAAAAACACAAATACCCCCTCCCCACAACACTTACCTCCCATTTCCAACACCCCCCCCCCCCCACCATACTCCCCTCCCCCCTGCTACCCCCCACCATACTCCCCTCCCCTCTGCTACCCCCCACCATACTTCCCTCCCCTCGGCTAACCCCACCCATCCATCACACTCCCCTCCCATATACCCCCCTCCCTCCAGCGTGCCATACCTGGTTCTCCAGCAGTTGTCGCTGGACACTGGCCAGATCCCCACCAATGGGATGTTGCTGCTGTAGCTCTGTCTGTCTGGCCAGCACCCAGGCCACCAGGCTCTGGAGGGTCTTCACAAGGCGCGACCACTGCTCTGCATTACTCTCTAGCCGACCCCTGGACAGTACAGTTAGAACAGGTCAGTGGAAAGTTAGGTCAGTGGAAAGTTAGGAGACAGTACAGGTAGCAAAGTAAGGTCAGTGGAAAGTTAGGTCAGTGGAAAGTTAGGTCAGTGGAAAGTTAGGTCAGTGGAAAGTTAGGTCAGTGGAAAGTTAGGTCAGTGGAAAGTTAGGTCAGTGGAAAGTTAGGACTGAAAGGGACTGAATCACGAGACAAAGGGACTGAACCAAGAAACAAAGGGACTGAATCAAGAAACAAAGGGACTGAATCAAGCAACAAAGAGACTGAACCAAGTAAAACAGACCTGATCTCCATGGACTTCTCCATGAGGTGTAGCCAGCGTTTGTTCATCTCCTCCAGCCTAGCCTGCAGCTTGTGGGAGTCTGAGGTCACCATGGTCCGCATGACTTGACTCCCTGTGTGGTTCAAGCTCTCAAAGGTGCTCTGGTGGGAATCAACTTCAGCTTGGAGGTCCTGCAAGGTGAGCAAAATTGGCATCATAACACACAGCACAACAATGGCTTTATAACACAGAGGTAAACAATACAACAATGAACATTGGCATTATAACACAGGGGTAAACAGCGCAACATTGGCATTATAACACAGAGGTAAACAATACAACATTGGCACCATAACAGAGAGGTAAACAGCACAACTGGTATCTTAGCACACATCATGAAACTAAAAACTTGAATTACAAAGTAACAAATTATGAAATCTATATGCAATGGGGTATACAAATTATTTTTAAAAATGTATGTGACGAAAGTAATAAAATGTGATGACAACTAACAGGTTGACAGTAGAATAGAATACAGTCAAGTCTTTTCTGGTGTCCAAGTGATGAGGGGCAGTATAATGTATTGTATTACCAACTATCATTTTGTATCTTTGTATATTTCTCTCTCTCGATATATATATATATATATATATATATATATATATATATATATATATATATATATATATATATATATATATATATATATATATATATATATATATATATATAAATAGTTTTCCATTATTTATATACTTATATATACAATAAAGCAAATGGAAAACGCTGTAACACGGCTTTAAGCCTGGCTAAAATAGAGTATAAGAAATTCATTTACACTTGCTGCGTGGAGAAAAATGTGCTATCAATATTTGATCAATAAAGCACATAGCTCAATCTTTAAATTCTCCAGGCAAATTCGACGAAATATCAACAACACAGGGCCACACAGGTCTAAAACTAGATCAAATTCTATCATAAATCATCTCCCCAAACCCTAAAAAATGCAGGAAAGCAAAACAAACAGGCTGTCAGTTTAGAGCCACTTCCGCTAAATTAAAGCTAAAAACAGCATCCGCAGGGCCATCAGTTGAAGTTGCCATTTTGTTATTGGCCTGGGCCACGCATCTGATGACTGGCCAACTAACTGGCTGGAGATTGATGGATGACCCCCATTGATCGGTGACCCCCCTATCTATCACACTCTGTGAGGACCGGATGCTCTAATTTCTTTCACATCACTAAGTCAAGTTTAATTTTACACTATCAACCCTCTTTACTTAGCTGGCCATATTTTGGGCAAGGTTTCGATTTCAACAAAATGAAAACAATTTTGTTAAGTCCAACAAACAGAAAACGTCAGGCATTGTAAATGTGTAGAATGACAGTTTTGTTGAGAGAAACTTGAAGATCACAAGTCCAGATGGAGAAGGCAACAAAAACTTTCAAGAACAGCTGACACAACGTTTTCACAGTGCTGTCAGGTTTCACCAATCAGTCAACATGCCATTGGTGTGTCACCATCTGATCACCACAACACCAGTAAAGTTCAACTGTATCACCATTCATTTTGTCACTAGTGAGGTTCTAGAGTGTGTCTTGCCATACAGTCACCACACCACCCACACAACCAGTGAAGACTTTACCCACACCACCCACACAATCAGTGAAGACTTTACCCACACCACCCACACAACCAGTGAAGACTTTACCCACACCAACAACCACCAGTGAAGACTTTACCCACACCACCCACACAACCAGTAAGGACTAACCACACCACCCACACAACCAGTGAAGACTATACCCACACCACCCACACAACCAGTGAAGACTTTACCCACACCACCCACACAACCAGTGAAGACTTTACCCACACCAACAACCACCAGTGAAGACTTTACCCACACCACCCACACAACCAGTGAAGACTTTACCCACACCAACAACCACCAGTGAAGACTTTACCCACACCACCCACACAACCAGTGAGGACTAACCACACCACCCACACAACCAGTGAAGACTTTACCCACACCACCCACACAACCAGTGAAGACTTTACCCACACCACCCACACAACCAGTGAAGACTTTACCCACACCACCCACACAACCAGTGAAGACTTTACCCACACCAACAACCACCAGTGAAGACTTTACCCACACCACCCACACAACCAGTGAAGACTTTACCCACACCACCCACACAACCAGTTGTATCTTGACTAGCGGCTAAAGGCCAAATGGCCTGACAAAATACCACGGGCTCTTAATTTAAAATATTCTAATGGCTCAGACAAACATACGGATAAAATAGTTCGTTTTTATTTCGTCCAAATGTCAGGGTGGGTTTGTAGCTAGGTGGATACAGGATATCAATGTCTGTAGTTTAGTGTAGTGACAGACAGACGCAATACTACCAATGTCTTGGAAAACAGATATCAGACACACCGTAAACAGCGAGAGACAGCCACGGCAGACCGTGCGGCGTCAATTCGGCCAATGACGAAACGGCCCCGTCAAAACGACCCCGACAAAACGACCCCGTCAAAACGACCCCGTCAAATCGGCCCCGTCAAAAGGGCCAGCGACATATGGACCCCGTCATATAGGCTCCCGACAAATAGGCTCCCGTCATTTAGGCTACCGACAAATAGGCTCCCGTTATATAGGCTCCCGACAAAAGGGCTCCAGTCAATAAGGCTCCTGACAAATAGGCTCCCGTCATTTTGGCTCCCGACATATAGTCTCCCGTCATTTAGTTTTTTCCACAAAACGGCCCCCGTCATTACGACTCCCGACAAATAGGCTCCCGCCATTTAGTTTCTCCACAAAACGGCCCCCGTCATTACGACTCCCGACAAATAGGCTAGCGTCATTTTGGCTCCCGACAAAAAGGCTCCTGTCAATTTGGCTCCAGACAAAAGGACCACTGACACAGTGGCGTAGCTACCGTAAAGCTAGCGTAAGCAAGGCATGGGGGCCCAAGGCACATAGGGGCCCTTTTCCCTCATAAAAATTAAAACTTTTACAATGGAATTTTAATATTTGTTACATATAAATAATTTTAAAAAAGAAAAAGGTTAAAAGTTCCAAAAAGCCCCCCCCCCCCTCCCACCGTTTCGGCAGTGGGATTCAGTGTTTGTGTGTCAAACAGAGCCCAATCGTTATAATAACACTACAGGCTATATAACTTTGTCGTGCAAGACATTGAGAGAATCAGCCTATAAATAAACTTTTTAGCAGTAGTAGGCAAGCATAATAATATAGTATAAATACAAAATCAGGACATATAAAATACAAAATGTTGCCTTCGGAATATTTATATATTAAAAAATATCCATCGTAAGTAGAAGTTGATCTCTTCGTTTAACTCCTCTGTAGCCTAACGCAGAGGCGTAGTGAAGGCGAGGCGGGGGGTGCGGACCGCAACGGGTGACACCATTTAGGGGGGGGGTGACACCAAAGGCAAAAAAATGTAAAATTTATAGAATGAAATGCCATTTTCCAGATCCATTAGTTAAAGTTAAATAGTCTTCTAAGTACAAATCGAAAATTATATCAAGAGGGGGGGGGGGTGTGACACCACGACGTAAACGTAAACTATTGTCACCCCCTCCCAGGAAACAAAGCATATATATATATATATATATATATATATATATATATATATATATATATATATATATATAAAGATATATATATATATATATATATATATATATATATATATATATATATATATGAGACCGCTTTGCCGGGAGACTTAGTCTCTACAGAAACGGTATTGTCAGTGCAGTGGCGTAGCTAGGATTTTTGGGCCCCTATGCAAAAAATATCAGTGGGTCCCTTCGTCAGCCGTTAGGCCAGTGGCGTCATATATATATATATATATATATATATATATATATATATATATATATATATATATATATATATATATATATATATATATATATATATATATATATGTATATATATATATATATATATATATATATATATATATATATATATATATATATGTATATATATATATATATATATATATATATATATATATATATATATATATATATATATATATATATATATATATATATATATATATATATATATATATATATGCTTTGTTTCCTGGGAGGGGGTGACAATACGAAGTGCCGCACCGGGTGAGACCCGACCTAGCGACGCCACTGGCCTAACGGCTGACGAAGGGGCCCACTGATAATTTTTGCATAGGGGCACAAAAATCCTAGCTACGCCACTGCACTGACAATACCGTTTCTGTAGAGACTAAGTCTCCCGGCAAAGCGGTCTCATTGAATATGACATCTGCCAGTGGGACCCCTTCATCAATATTCTTTAGAGTTAGCTTATCCAACACTCTTATGTAATACAACGTATGCATCTCTTGTTCGGCAGGCCTTATTTTTATATTAGTTTATCTATTATAAAATATAGTATGTTTTAATTTAAGGGTCATCTATCTATGACATCCATAATTGAGTCGGTTATAGGCTGTTCCAACTCATTGTGTGGGGAGAAGGGTCCACGCTGTACCTTCCTAACTGCAATATGCTTGTACAGGGGCGTAGCGAGGGGAGGGGCGGGGGGTGCGGACCGCACCGGGTGACACCATTTAGGGGGGTGACACAAAGGCAAAAAATAGCAAAATATATAAAGAAAAAGTTGGGGGGGGGGGGGGTGCAAATCGAAAACTTGAAAGTTTGTCCCCGGGAAGGGTCGCAACGCCTCTGGGGGGGGGGGGGGGGGTGACACCATTAAGTGCCGCACCGGGTGACACCCGACCTCGCTACGCCACTGTGCTTGTAGGTTATCAAAACAAAATGCTGTTATCATGTTAACATCATGTATATCATACATTTACACTTCTGTGCTCGCTTTTAAGCAACAGATATTTTCTGTTGTAAATTAAACATTATCAAAACTTTAGAATTGGTGGAATTTAGCTGTTAAGGGCTCGATTTGTTTGTGAATTAATGTTGGTTCATGAAAAAATAATTTCATTCGGGCATTAAAAAGAGGTTATGGTGGTATTGGAGGTAGGACACAACGGTTACTTTTATGCCAATAGTGGTCATATCATTCATTTTTCCGGAGCCAATATGTCGGGAGTCATTTTGTCAAAAGCCAATATGTCGGGAGCCCAATTGCCGGGAGCCAAT